ACTGGGCAAGTAAAAAAGCAGGCGAGGTAAAAAATGCTAACCAGGGAGCAGGTGGCAGAAAGGAGCTGCAAATTAATTAGTAATCAGAAAGACTAACACTTAGAGACTGGGAAGTAAAGGCCCGCAGGTGATAACAGGAAGAGCAAAAAGGCTTCCTGGGAAGCAGGGAGTAGGGGAATGGAAAGCGGGTTGCCTCACAGAGAAGGCTTGTGGAGGAACTGAGCCCTCTCCAAGGAAGGGGAAAGAGCGTGTGATAAGGAATCCAGTAGGGGACTGGACTTTTGGGCGCAGCGTAGTGAGAAGCCCCCAGGGGTGGGTTACCTGGGTGGGTTTCATTTGCTGTACTAAACTGGCTAGTTTTACTGCTAGCTGTAGGACTGCCTGACCCTGGGGCTGTATAAGTTAAAGAGACAACATACTTTTTTCCCTTTCGAGCTGCAAGGCAGGTGCGTGTTATGTTAAAGCAGCACCTGGACTTTCAGTTTGTTTTTTCACTTGAGGACCAGGAAGGGACTAGAAAGGGGAGATTTTGAGGTCCTTGTAGTGCCTGAGAGGCATAGAGAGGCTGGACCCTGCTGGGGTGGGCCCAAGCTGCAAAAATTAGCCAGGGCTAGGTTCCTTGTGCCTAGAAGTAACAGAGACAGGGCCAGGGATCAGCTCCCAAAAAGGACAGAACCTGAAGATAAAAGAGCCTGAAGAAGCAAGAGATTGGACTTGGGGCCAAGAGCCCATCTAAATGACTGATTGACACCTGCAAGGCATGGGCTTGGCTGTAGGGGTGTTGGAAATCGTGAATACAGACTTTAAGGCATTAAATATTAAGATAAGAAAAAAGAGTGGTAGGACCTTGATCAGTAAGTCCCCTTGGGTCCTGGGCACTTATTTTAGAAACAGCAAAGGCATGGCAGAAAGTGAGGGAGAAGGGCTCAGGGACCAGATAGACAGAAGTAGAGGACCAGAGGAAGGTGCTAATATGAGGCCCAACCACATCCTGCTACACTGCCTTTTGAAGTTCTTAAAGCAGGTGCTATATTGCTACTTCTAGAAAGAAAAAAAGGTGCATTAATCATCCAGGACAAAAATTAAACAGCTACAGAAGTTGTTGTTCTTATATTCTTATAGCAAGAGCCGTTATGTTGTACCCATAACAGTTCTTTGAGAATTGAAGTAAAATAGCAGAACTGTACAGGATTATATACTAAAATACATACAGTTTTATTAGTGTTAGAGTGAGGTTGTAGCCATGATTGTCCAGGAATTATGTGAGAGGCAAAGTGTTTTGGAGGGTGCTATCTTCTGTTGAACTAGCTGCATGATTGGAATAAAGTTAGACAAGCTTCTGAATGCAAGACATTCTTCAGCATTCTTCCTGATAAATAATGTCTTGCATTTGAAACCTTGTCTTTATTCCAATCATGCAGTTGGTCCAATCATGCAGTTTGTCCAATAAAAGATATCACCCACCAATATTTCTTGCCTATATCTAGTTTTAGGTAATTAGCAATAAGAAGTATCTTCTTGTGTTTAGGGTTTAGTCCTGCTCTACTGAAGCCAAAGTCTCATTAGCTTTGCTAGACCTATAATGCAGTCATGAGTTTCTAATGCAGTCAGCTCAGCTCTCTGGCTCCCAAATTTACTAATATGACACTTCCATCTCCAGGGGCTCATATTCTCTTGCAGTTAAATGAATGACAACATGTAGTAGCCACATATTAAAGAACAAGTACAACATTTTCAGCTGGAAGTGTTGTTATAAAGTTGACAGTTGCCTCATTAATGATAGATGGCATACCGAAAGTTTAGAGTAGCTATAAACCATATTTATAGATCATTGTTCCTAATTTGTATAGCTTGTTGTCATTATTTGCTTGAAAAAGGAAACCAGCCTCTTGAAGTGTCTCCTGAACACTGAACAACCAAAGTTAATTGTGTTGGGTCTCAACAGGGAAAAGGGAACGCAGAAGCAATACAAGAGAGTAAGATGCACCATCATCTTTAGATTTAGAAAAATGCTACCAGGAAAAGGAAAACTTCTAAGAAAAAATCTCATATTTTACATAGCTTGTATATTTTAGGATAGCAAAGAGATGATAAATACAGACCCTAGTTCTACAAGAAATTGTGTGCGCATTTTACTTTACTCTAACAAGTAGTTCCAATCGTGTATGGGGCTATTGATACTAATAGAATTGAACATGTATCTATTTACAAAAATGGGGCCTTAGGTATAACTATGCAAGCCCACTAAATATCTGCCACACCTGTCTTTGCCTTTGTATCATTTATGGTCTCTATTTTAGGAACTTAGGAGTTGCAATATTGAATCAGACCTAATGCCCATTTAGTAGTGTCCTATCTCTGACAATCAGCACTAGATCTTTCAAAAGAAGGGGTATAAAGTTCACAGGAAATGTCATATCTCAGTTGGATCTCTGTTAGTTAAAATTGGCTTTTCCTCTGGAGTGTAAAGTTTCCTGTCACTTTCAGAACTTTTCTTGTCACATAAAAAGATTATTACACTGAATAATTTCTTATGTAACTCTCTAAACTCTTTTTGAATCTCCTTATATTCTTGACCCTGGGGCTTTGCTGTAGCAGTGACTGTGGAAGCCTTATTATATGTTATGTAAGAAAAAGTTTCCTCTTCTGAATTTGCCACCATTTAATTTTACCCTTGCTCATCTACTATCAGGGAGAAAAGTAGCCCCCAATCTATTTTTTCATATACAATTCATTATTTTATGCATCTTTATCATGCCCCCATATAGCTGTTTCCTTTCTAAATTATTCAAATCCTTATCAGTCTATCAGTATACATGAGTTTTTCCATTCCACTAATAATTCCTCTTACTACCTTTTTCTAAACGCCTTTTCATTTTGCAACATGCCTTTTGAAGAGAAACATCCACTACTGCACACCATATTCCAAATGAGGCAGCACCATTAGTTTATAGAATGGCATTATTATACTTTATGGTTCTCTATCCTTATGCATTCCAGCACTTGGTTTACTTTTTTGACTGCAGCTTTCTATTTAACAGCAGTCTTCATTAGCTCTCTATGTACAGTTATAACCAGGTTCCCTTCCTGTGCAGTTCAGGTTAATTTAGGCTCTCCTATACTAATAGTTTATGCTTTTTCGTTGAATGTGCCTTGTTTTGAATTTTTCAATCCAAAATGTCTTTTGCTACCATATTGAACATTCTTACTGAAGTCCCTCATCGTCCTTTCTGGTCCTGACAGCCCTAAATAGCTGTTATCTTCAAATTGATCCAATAAAATATATCAGCTACGAAAATCCTTGCCTCTTGCATATTTCCTGGATCATCTTGGCTACATCAGTCGATGCTACCATCTGCAAATAGTGATTTTTCTTAACTTACCCCCTTTCCATATTTTAATAAATATTAAATATATTAGAACTATTAAATATTATACTAGGTTATTAAAACACAACCTAGTACAGAGTATTGATTATCCTGATATTCATTTTTACTATGATGAAAACTGACCCGTTAATCCTAGCTTTTCTGTCTCCTAACCAGGTTTTGAACCATGGTAATAATAACTTGCTTCTTCAAAATAGTATTTTGTCTATTTAGTTGCTTCTAACTCCTTGTGCTGGTCTATGTTAATGGTCTTTCAGAAATCTAAATAAATGGTTCAGCAGCTCTTTTATCCACAACTTTAATGATGCAATGGGAGAATTCTGTGCCGGTAAAACGATGTCCCTCTGCAGCAACTGTGCTAGGCATTCCTTATCTTATCATCATTTTAAATGCTTTGTTATTTGACTTTTAATTACTGTATTGTTTTTAAGAAGTTGCCAGATGCAAGGCAAGGCTTATAGGTTTGTAACACCTCTAAAATATTTATTCCTGTACATCACCCAAAACAACAAAATATTTAGAGAGCTTCCAGTTCCAGTTTCTATTAGGGTGGTGGCTATTCATTTGGGAAAGGGTTTGTAGGATCTAGCTACGGGTGTTTTTGCCTTGATGGAAGTCAACGATTCCCCTCTGTCTGAATGAAATGAGGACTATTTCATTAATATTTATCAGGAACCTCCTGGAAGAAGCAGAGGGCAGCATCAGTAGCTAAGTTTAGATATTGATGGGATATTTCAAGTTGGGCTGCCAGTCCTCCAGGATTGCCCTGGCCTCTCCAGGAACTAGACACAGATCCCCAGGAGACTGCTGAGTCACCCAGAAGATACTGATACAGCAGTCACTAAAATACACATTAAATGCTGAATCTGATGTATACAGTCGTCCGGGGGGGGGGGGGGTTAATGGAAAAA